GACTTGGACAAGTAATTGCCAAAACAATAAAATTGAATGATGAAAGTCAACTTGGCAGAGGGTTTTGTCGGAACAAGAAACATTCAAGGTCTGTTCTGAGAAAGGGGAGTAATGATTCTCATCAAACTAAAGCAAGGTTAAATTTTGATGACTTTGTGACGAGCAAATTAAATTGCAAACTGGAGGTTTTTACTTTCTATGTTGTTAACTTTGTCATGCACTTGCCAACTTCACTACTGTCTGTGGTGGTGGCAAGGGACATGATCAGAGCTGTAAACTTACTTCATTCACTTAGCAGTTTATTGCAAAGTTTTACCTTTAATGGTAGAAGTTTAAAAGAAGTCTTTGTTAGAAACAAAGAAATAGAGAGACGAGTGACTGGCAGCTCTTCTGATGTAGAATTGGTCAAACAAGAGTGCCTTAAGATACTCAAATCCCTTCCTAACAGCTTTTTTGAACCTGAAGACAAGTTTTCAATTAAAAATCAAATTTTGAAAAATGCATGCCTGCTTTTCTGTACTGCTTCAAGCTCCTTCAAATTGCATGAGACAGAGGCTGAATTGCTTGTTATTGATGAAGCCGCTCAGCTTAAAGAATGCGAGTCAACTATCCCCTTACAGATTCCTGGTCTCCGTCATGCTATATTCATAGGAGACGAGTGGCAACTACCAGCCATGGTTAAAAGCAAGGTTGTCATGTGCTACTTTAAATGGTACCTAATTATAAAATCCTGCACAGTTAGAAAGTAAGTTGTTCTTTTTTAATTAGGTTTGCGAGGAGGCCAAGTTTGGGCGGAGCTTGTTTGAGAGACTGGCACTTCTGCGATTCAAGAAATACCTTCTTAATCTTCAGTATAGGATGCACCCGTCAATAAGCTCATTTCCGAACAGGGAATTCTACCAGAAACAGATTATAGATGCTCCAAATGTCAGAAGTACAGGATATCTGGAGCATTTCCTTCAAGGTGAAATTTATGGTGCTTATTCTTTTATCAATGTAGCATGTGGAAATGAGGAGGTCGTTGATGGGCATAGCATCCGGAACATGGTAGAAGTAGCGGTGGTTTGTGAGGTAGTTGCCAACCTCTTCAAAGGTACACTAAGATTGATTTAATGGCATTATCAAGTGAAGATGCACATTATATCATTTGCTAAATTACGGATTTTCTGATTTTATTTCCTGTTACAGGATTCACTTCCTTGGGAAAAAAGATCAGTATTGGTATCATATCACCCTACAATGCTCAAATTGCTGCAATTAAAGAGAACCTCGGAACTAAGTATAGCACCGATGATGAGAGTGGATTCTCTGTGGATGTACGATCTGTCGATGGTTTTCAAGGAGGTGAGAAGGATGTAATAATAATCTCAGCGGTACGCTCCAATGCTAACAGATCAATTGGTTTCCTTTCGAACAGTCAAAGGGTTAATGTAGCATTGACTAGAGCAAGGTATTGCTGTTTTTTCAAGATACTGTTGTAACTTTCCAATCTCTAGGGGATTGTCTGTGGTTCTGTAAGAAAGCTTGCTTCTTGCAGGCACTGCCTCTGGATATTTGGCAATGAAGCAACATTAAAAAGCAGTGGTTCTGTTTGGAAGATACTTGTACATGATGCCAGAGTTAGGGGCTGCTTCCATGATGCTCAGAATGACAAGGACTTGGTGAAATCTATGGCAGCTGCCTTGGTAGATATTGACCTCCTTGACATTAAAATACGCCTTTATTCAGTACTTTTTGAAGGAACAAGGTGGAAGGTATTCTCTTTGAGTTTCTAAAGCATATTCTCCTAAATCAACTGGCAATGCCTTTCTACTTACTTTATATTCATTAAAAATGTATTTTTACTCATTTTCTTTGGATATGTTAAAGCAAGTTTTCCTATCAGGTGCCACTTTCCTAATCTCACTTTATACAGAATTTCGCACAGGGAATGAGTATAACTAGGCTGGACTCTCCACTTGACACAAAATTTAAGATGTTATTGACTCCTGTTTATAAATTCATAAATAAGAGTAGAAAAAATATTAAGTGATGTTTGAAAATTTGATAGAGAAATATCTCAATGGAAGTTAGTTTAATATACAAAAAAATGAATCAATTTTAGACTTGATTAGTAAAATGGATTTACATTCTTAAAATTTTGTGGAAACTGTATAAAATAAGTTATCACTGGAATAGCGTCCAACATTTTTGGATGTAAATTATCACTGGAATAATGGAAACTGTATAAACAATGCAATATAAATTGTGGTGGAGGTAGTAGGCCTTTTAGGCCCCGTTTGGCCAAGCGATATGAAATCATGATATGAAATCTTGAGATGGAATTGAAGTTTTGTTTGGACATGCGATTTGAAATTTTTGTGTTGTATATTTTCTCATAAACATAAGAATCCCATAAGTTGTAAAACTACTAAAATAGTCCCAATTCTCTATTCAATCTTACCAAATAAACAATAATTTATAAAATCGCATAATAAATTATTACAAAGCCATTGTGGTCAGTCTTGTTCACTCAATATAGATGAATAATTATTTTTTTATTAAACATTAAAGTAGTAGTAATAAATTTGGTTGACAAATAAATTTGATAAAAAATAATAAATTTGATGAATATAAATGATAAAGTAGGAATTAACCCTTCGGGGTGGCCCAGTGGTTTGAGCTTGGGACTTCCATGTTGGAGGTCTCAAGTTCGAAACCCCTTGCCAGCGAAAGCAAGGGGTTTGCCTTCTGGGTCGAGCTCGTTGCACCAGGCTTGCCTAGTGCGGGTTACCTCTCCTATGTGGTTTGCGAGCTATTGCATAGGAGCGGGGGTTTTACCCTATGCGCACCCAAAGGGTAGCGGTTGCGGGTTTCCCTTGTCATCAAAAAAAAAAAAGAGTAGGAATTGATTTAAAGTTATAATAAATTTTTTGTTGGGGAGAATAATAAATTTTAAAAAGTAATGATATGATTATAAATTTTATTTACAATGAAATAAATGGCTAGTAGATATAAATGTGGGGTTGTTTTAACAAAATATAAACTTGTGGGTTAATTGTTGTATTAAAAAAAACCCAAATCATGATTTTTGAAGAACATGGGATTCCATCTCATGATATGAGATGAAATCATCGTGAAATCGCATGATTCTATCTCACGATTTCATATCGTGATATGGTAACGCCTACTTACTTTTTGTAAATTCTTTTAACAAAATGTCACTCCATGGGGACTAGAGCTAAGGTAATAGATAAAGACCAGTGAAGGCAATGCCTTTCTCTAAATGAAGACAAAGAATTGAGTACTTACAACGAGTTAACTAATAATTTCTTTTTGTTTGTTATAGCATCATACGGTTTATGGCATTATTAGTGCTCCTTCCATCCTAATTATGAAGATGTCATTTGATTAGACCAGAGAATGAGCCCTGGTCAGGGGAGATTATGTGAATGTTGGTTGTCAGTGTGTTTAATTTATGGTTAAAATGTTGTGGGAAAGCGACGTAGATGCTTCAAGAACTTTCATAAAAATTAAATTGATCCAAGGTTGTGTTTGATCTCTGCCGGTTGTTCTTTCTCCCAGCTGTGTTACAGGACTAATTGAAGCTTCATCTGTTTCATTACAGGTAAGTGTTGATGATAAATTTTGGAAAGCAATGGAGAAAATTAAAAGCATAGAAATTCGTAAGAAAGCAATTTCCGTATTGATGAAGCTTTCTAGTGATTCGCAATGGCCTCACACTGAACATATTACTGTGCCAAGTGGGGTGTCTAATCAACTCACTGAGCTCTGCCCTGTCGATGGGATACTTCATATTGTTCTGACTCTTGAGACTATTATGGAGACCTCAAGATATGTAGATGTCATGCGGGTTTGGGATATTCGGCCACTGACAGAGATACCAAACCTAGATCCTATGTTTATCTTGTGCAAGCAGCTTGATGCTTTTCATTTGAAGGATGAGTCATCTGCTGAAAGTGTTCATATCAGGTAGGTTTATCTTGAAGAGTGCATACATGATACAACATACAAGATCGGAAGGGCATTTTCTTGTAGAAATGCTACAACTTTTTGAGACTTTGTTTTGTTAATGTGCATAGATAGGATTTGTTACATATAGATGCAGTTATAGAATGAAGAGAAGTTCTCTTAATGTGCATAGATCATGCAATTTTAGAACGGGGATAGAATATTCTGTGGTATACTTTCGGTTTGCAGCTATCCTATTAATGGAGTTAACCAAGCTTTTGGTTTGCAGTTGTCATTTGTTTATCTCACAATTTATATTTCCCTTTTCAGCCAAAATAGGTCGAGCTTCTGGTAGTTTGTGTTGTCATATCCTTGAACATCTCTTCGGAGAAATTTATACATTGACATCTCATGAGAAATCAGAAAAGCTGATGAAATAAGAGTGCATTCTTGCTTAACTGGTTCAAATATGTTCTTACTAACCAGTCTTTCGTCTGTTAACGTTCATTCTAGTTTATCATTTTAAGATAGATTCAACATTTTGTTTGGTGTGAGGGATAAAAATAAATAGTGATGGAATAAAAATGTTGTTTCTTGTTTGGTTGTCATGTTTGGGATTACTTATCCCACCATGTTCCCAACCAAACGATCCCAAGGATTCAGAGTCTGGGTAATATACACAACATCTTGAAGGTTTTTTTGGCTGTTAACGTTCATTCTGGTTTGACGCTGCTCTTTGTATAAAAGCTGATAAAGAATACAGGATTTCAAATATTACTAAACTCAGACTAAAAATTGATCAAGTTTGCTCTCGCATTTGATAAATTGCTAAGCAAGTACTGAACTGCACAGAGCCCAAGACACGGTATTTCAGTCATACATTTTATTCAAAAACATCAATTCATAGTTCTAAAGCTTCCTTCACGTCTGATTTTTTCAATTGCAATCTTTGTGGTTCACATGAATGGTACAAGTTAGTAAAATTAGCAACAAACTTCATGATGGAAATGAGCATTTTGTAATAGTCATTCACCATTAAGCAGTAAGCAAAGCTCATTACTGAAAGCATTTTCTAAAGAGAATACTGAATAGCATAACCATCCAAAGTGCCAGGTTTGGGATGGTGAAAGCTCACATAACATGCTCCACAAAGCACTACACTTACACTGGGTAAAACTATTAATTGAAGTGTTGCAAATTACACTGAATCGCATTCAGTACTAACAGATTTTCAGTCAAAACTGTCAACCCTCAATAACAGGTGGTAGCTATGAGCTCTTACACATTACATCAAAGAATACAGTGACATGACCAGCTGAGGACATCATCTTAATACTTTCAAAATAGCCAGAGTTTACACATCATTCCAGCTTTTTCAACTGTATTATGGTCAAAAGGACGATATGAACCTTTGAATCTTTGATTGTCCCCTCTCCTTCTCTTCTGGCCCTTCCAGATCGCCTATGTTGTCATGATATTCCTGCGGTGCAAGTATAAACTTCAATAACATAACAGACTTTATCTAGTATTCTTCAGAATAAAGGAAAGACTAGGCCCACTGACGAAAAAGTGAACTGTATAATAGGAAGGAAAACAGCTTCACATAAAACTTGTATGAATTTCATTAAAGATCAACACAGGCAATTCATGAAGATGGACAAGGAAAGTCCTCAAGGAGTTCTTCCTTCTAGATCTATCTTCAGATATTACCACACCACAATACCGAAGTTATATTCCAATAATCCAAGCATGTCAAGAAACAATTTGCATTCATTGAACTAAATCCAAAGTGAAAGATACAAAGGTCAATGCAAATAACATGTTGCAAAAACTGGATTTTGCTCTGATTTGCTACAAGTCCTAAAGCTATTGTTTCTTGCAAGTTAACCTTGTCTCCAAATGTATCCAAGAATTTTCACTCTTTTTTTGGATAAGTAGAAGAATCCAGGAAAATTTGTTGTATAATAATATAACTAACTTGAAAGCAAACACAAGAAACTCAAAAAGAGGGTATTGCTGGAGAAAAAAGGAAGTCATGAGTAGACACCTGGAGTATATCTTTTACATCTTGCTTAGTCAGCTTTTGTTGCTTTAGCAAAAGGTCAATCCTTGCTCTGATTCGAGGATGTCTGCATTAAAAAGAACAATTAAGCGGGAGGAACTAGATCTATCCTACCTGAAGAGAATAGTATGTCAGGTTTCAGAACTTACTCAGACGTCCAAAGATGACCCAGAATAACAGCTATCAACTGCAGGATCAGAGAGATAAAGAAACAACAATAAGAATGCCAGAGATCTGAAGTGGTAATATGCCCGTACAAGAGATAAGTACAAAATTAAAATGCAACAGATCTTTGACCTGAAGAGTATAAAGACCAGCTTCTAACTTCCTATTGTACTTCTCGTCTTCATCCATCTACAAACATGTTAAACATTATGGCAATATAAAATAAAAGGCCTTAGTGAAAGACATAATAAGCAAAGTCTAAGAAGTAAACAGACCTCCAAATCATCAAGTTCAAGCTGGTCAAACCGTTCAGACTCAAGTTTTACTCTATTGGAATATCTGCAACAGCCCCAAGGATAAAAAATTTAAAACCAGCACAATGTAACAAAATAGAACAATCAGCCTCAAGAGAACCATTCTTGTTTTCTTTTTTTCGAATAGTGGAAGCAAATGGAGCAGGGTACTTAGATATATGTTGCATGAACAATCACCTCATGTAGAGCTCCATAAGCCTGTCAATTTTTTCGCACTCATTCTCCACGAACTTACTTAACAATCTATCCCTTCTAGAACCTCTTAAGATTCCCCCTGTAACAGCAAACTAAAGCAGTTACATCCAAGGTATATGGGAGGTTTTCCCATTATAAATAAAATAATCTATCTTATATAAAAATGCAGTCACATACAAATATAAGGTAACTTTTTTTCTTCTTCCCCCCAACCCCTAAGAACAGCAAAATACTTGTGTCTTCACAGATAGGTTCTCAGTTAACTAGCCTCCTTACCAAATAAGGAAGCAACAAGTGATACAAGACGCTCTTCCAATTCTTCTTTGTAGCGTTTCTTGTTCTTTTTGCTCAGAGGTAGCTGATAATAAAACATTTAAGCATAATAAGTTATATGAGTCAATAATAGAAGAAATCATAAAAATAACACCAAATCATCCTAAAGAGCTTGTTGAAAATTTGAAATCAAGCAATGGAAACTGTTCCATTTGGGGTGAACTTGTGATATAGTTATGTTTTAACTACTATATCTCATTAAAAATAATTGCTAATACTAGAGTTGTTGTCATGTAACAAATAGCCAAGTTATTACCTAAGTAACAACTTGATGGGGAATACAATCCTTATCTAGACATCGAACATTTTAACAACATATCTGTAAAAAAGAAAAATTAACATCCTACTCCATTCATCAACAAATTTAATCCTACCGTAAGAGTTGTTTATGAGACAATCTTTGAAAAATTAACAACTTAGTCAATCAAACTATATCTCAGTTCCAAATTAACTGGGATCCACTGTATGAATCATTTATATCCGTTATGCTCAGAAAATTTTATAAATTAGCAATCAATCAAAACACAATCAACTATATCTCAATCATAAACCAGCTGTGGTCTACTATATGAGTCCTCTATATCCATTCAACTAAGAAAATTATCACATTGGTCAACAAATCAATTGCGGGCGACTACATGAATCATCTATATCATTCTATCAATGTAAAATGTAACAAAAATTAAAGTAAAAGAGAACTTGACTTGCCTTACCCATGAAAGCAGGAAATGCAGTCTTTAACCCCATTACATCCACAAACCTCTCACATGCTGGAGGATAATTAGTCATTGCAAAATCCAACGCCCTTATAGCTGATCCATAGCACATTTTCTTCTGATTCATTATAATGATCATCAATTCCACTCCTTCAGATTTCACAAACTTCTCTTTATTCTCCAAAGGCATTAACAAACAACACAAGGCATCAAACAAGTTCTCAACCATCTCCTCCTCATCTGGCGTCTTAGGGTCCTTCGATTTATACATTGCTACAGCTTGTAACAATGCGTCCACGCCGTTCAATTGCCCTAATCTCTTCTGATTGACCGTGCTGCTCTGCAGCAAAATAGCCAAAATTTCCGATGCATACTGCTTGTTTCCATCAAATTCTCTTACCTTTATTCTTGTCAGCAACCACTTCATTAACTTCGTCCTTTCACATACAAGTTCCGCCACCGAGGGTTTCACTTCAATAAAATTCTCAACAGTCGCGAGTATACTATATATGGCAGCGGACTCGTCCGGATCGGAGTCGGACATTTTACCTAGGAGCTGAACGAGCAATTCTAACGAATTGTTCTCAACCAATGAATCAACTAAAATTTGCGCCGGCTCGTCGTTGTCCTCGAGAACATCCTCGTCGGTCAGGTCTTGTAATAAGCCGACCACGTCAATAGCGATGTCAGTGTTTTCGTGATTGAGGAGGCTGGTGATAGACGCAATGGTCCCGAGATTGACGAGTTCCGGGTAAAATTCGGGGCCTCCGGCGAGTATTTTGAGCTTTTCGATTTCTTCATGGAGCTCGACTTCGGAATCCGCGAACTTTTCGGGTTGGTCCGGGTACTTGAGACGTGCAGCAATGTTCTCCTTAAGACGGCGTTCGAATGCAAGGACGAGTTTTTTCACTGTTTTGATATCGAGAACTTCCACAGGGTTTTGTTGAGATTTTTCTAAGGCTTCGAGCAGTGAAAGGTCGATGCCTCCGTTTGCGGTGGCTGAGGACGGCGGTGGTGGTTGTTTGAATGTGTCGTACTCATCGTCTTCGTACTCGGCAGGGTTTCGCTTGCGTTTTGCTGCTTCCATAGCTTCTGGCCAAAACCCTTAGCTCCCCCAGTAGCAGCAGAAGAACTTCTCACACACAAATCACTTTTCCCTTTTCACCCCTTCATTTTTCTGCTTGATACTTCATACACCTCTAATCCCTGAAAATTGCTCGGGAGACCCCCAAAGATTTTGATTTAATGCATAAACAATCCTTAAATTTGTTAGTAAATTTAATTTAGAGTTTCAAATTGAAACTTATTTCAATTGGTCACTTAAACACACAATATGGTGTTTTTAGTAGACACTTTCAATTAAAACTTTCCAAAAAAATAAATAAAATTGCACATGTTATCAAGCTTTCACTATATAAATAAGTTAAATACTTAAAACATGTCATTATGTTAAACCTTAAATCTATTTCAACTGATATTAACATGTATACTTAAAGTAGATAATATATTTTATGTGGTTAAATACTTCCAAAAAAATTTAACTATTATTTCGACTACAAATATCATATATCTTCATTTAATTTATCAATTTATCATCAACAAACATTTACTCTATAATATAACCGAGTCAACAAGATTTTTGATTTGTGGATGCTTAACTTCTTTATTTCATATGTGAAGTTATTATTAATAGTCATAGTATAAGTGCACAATAGGGGTGTACATGATCAGGTTTGTTCGGATTTTTTAAATATCAAATTAAATCATTTGTGTCAAATTCTTAAATTTATAAACCAACCAAATTTATAAAATTCGGATTTTTTCTGGTTAGTTCGAGTTTTTCAAATATCAAACCAAACCATTCGTGTCGGATTTTTAAATCAAAACAAACTAATAATCATCGGATTTTTTTATTCGGGTTTTTGAATTTTTCCGGTAAACTATTCATACAAACACATATTTAACTCGTGCTCCAAATATTTCTTTAGTCCAATCAAAATACAACTATCTAAGGTGTTCCTTAAAAAAAATACAAAATATGAGATGAGTGATGACACTAAAATATTAAATAAAAAATAATAATGAAATTGTATAGAATAAATATTGCAAATTGGTAAGTCATAATGAAAATGATAATAATTAAAAATGCTAAATAAGTCTAATAAGTATTAATTACATGATGAAACTTTTAAAAAAAAATATTAGGTTATTTATTTTAAATGTCCAAACCAATGTGAAAGAAAGAACAAATATTCAACATTATTGTCATTCTTAATGTTGAATTAATTTTTTTTGTTAGCACTAATATTGATTAGATTTTGAATTGAGCTTTAAATACTAATATCTATGGACTATAACCTTTATTGGACCATTCTCAAAAAACTTGAAAAAATATGTTAGAAGATAAAAATTCTGAAAACGATAAGTAATATTTAGAAACTAGTTAACTAATCCGCGCTTCGCGCAGTTAATTAAAATCTTATAAATTTTATGAAATAGTATTTTTCTTAGAATATATATATTTAAAAAAATTAATAAATAAATAAATTTAACTAATTTTTTATAATGATCACGTATTCAAATTCTCTTCACAATTGTGCAGTTCTAATATAATTATATGATGTGGATCATATTGTGCTTTGCTATTAAATATTTTTGTAATAAAAAACATCATATTTCATTGCATATAATTATGGTTAAGTACTTTACATTCGTTTAAAAAATAATTTGTTTTAGTGCATGTGCAAATTGACTTCGTTAAAATTATTGCATAATTTTTTACTGAAATCGGTGGTCACAAATGAGGTGGAAATAATGCTCGTTTGGATTGACTTTTATTGTTTGACTTTTAAATCAAAAGTAATAAGTTTAATTTTTTAATTTATGATTTTTGACTTATTTTTATCAGTTTAGCTTAAAATCAAGTTCTTCTAAGTACTTTTTAAATTTACCAAACACTCCAAAAGTGCTTAAAAGCTATTTTAGCATAAAAGCACTTAAAATAAGTTAATTCAAATAGTTATTATTTCCATCACTAATAATCATTTTTCTGTAATTTTCATGTAAACCAAAAAATAAAACAACTAATTGGTTATTTTATCATAATTTTTTAATTAGTTGAACGCAATACAAACGAACTATACTATATATTAGAGATATATATATCATATGCATGCATTCAAAGAAAAGAATAACAAACAAAAAGAGGTTGAATTTATCAACATAATGTACTGTGAACCACAATAATATTCGTTAGAAATTACAATTAGTATACTCCTCTAATGTCCATCTCCTTATTAAAGAGAAAAGTTACATGAAAATGAATTTAAAAATGAAAATAATATCAAACAAGAAATGGAAAAAAAAATAAGGAAAAATCACACCATATACACATTTAAGAGACAATATTACGAGTTTTAAACCTACTTTTAAAAAATTCTTACTTATATCAGTTTAATTACGGGTTATAACATATCAATTAAATTTAACTTTATTTAAAAATCAATTAAAATTTACTTTATTAAATGATTAATCTTTTTATATTTTTATATTATTAATTATTTAATTATATTGATTGCAGTTCCTTTTATATAATTAATAGGTGAGAGAAATAATATTAATGAGAGAGAATCAATTTGTAATTATCTATTACACCTTTTAAGGGATTTTTTAACTTATTCAAATAACTTTTATTTATTAATGACTATTGGGGCCTTTAAATTTTTTTTAAAATATAAATTTATCCCCGTATATTTTAACATGTAATTTTCTCTCTCTTTAATCTTTTTTCTTTTGCTTTTCTTGATTTTTTTTTTAATTTTAAATTTTGATATTGTTTTTTCTTAATCTGATTTTTTTAGAATTAAGAATTCTATATTTTGAAAATTTGATTTCGTTTTTTATTTTAATTAATCTAAAACTTGATTTCTTGAGAAAAAAAACCGTTTTACGTAAATTTTGAACTTGTTTTTGGTGTGTTTTTCTATATCTAAAATATTGTTTTGTTGGTGAAATAAGTATATTTAATTCTGAAATTTGTTGATATATATGGATAATATGAGATCATAAAATCTTTAATAAGGATTTCTTAAGTTTAGCTTAAATATGATAAAAAAAAATCACACTTGAATATGGAATATAAATTGAAGAGAGAGGAAAATATAGAACTTGTATTAATTATTGCAGTTTAGACTTTTAATTACATGTTTTGATTTTTGGGTGATGTATATTTCTTTTGCTACAATTTCTGACAACAATATATAATATGCATTGTTTTACAATCAGATTTATTCTTCCCGGATTTATACCCGTTGGATACTAATTTTATACATTTTCATATTTTGTCTTTGTTCTAAAATTTCAAGTTGGATATCAAGTGTATATAAATTAGATAAAATATTAACTTGTTTTAGATTGTCTAATTTGATTGAAATATCAGTTACATTTTGTTTTTTTCATTTTCAATTGGGATATTTGTTGGATACCAATTGAATACAACATTAACTTGTTTAGGTTATCTAATTTGATTGAAATCTCAACCACAAGTTGATTTTTCATTTTTCCAATGGGATATCAATTCAATACTAAATTTATACAAATTGGATACAATATTAACTAGTTTTACGTTGCCTATTTCAGTTGAAATCTCAATTACATGTTTTTTTTTTCAATTTTACCACTGGGACGTTAGTTGGATACCAAATGTATACCAATTTCATATTAAGATTTGACTTAATTTTTCCAGTCAATATCAATCACATACAAACATTACCTATTTTTTGAGTATACATTTGAGAAACACTGAATACACAAATAATTAACTAGCACACATAATAAATATTCTAAAATTATAATTCATTAACTTAAAAGACAAAATAAATCAAAACATGAGTTTGCCACCATAAAACAACCAAATAAAAATAAAAATAAATTATGTCTTTTTTTCAGAAGGGTAATTTGAACATGTCTTCCTATTGTGTTCCTCCCGACGACATGTACTGCTCGTAATCTTAGACCTCTTGAATTTCACATCAACAAATCATTTACAAGTTGTGATCTCCGTATAGTTCTTTTTGAACCATGCGACAATAATTTCTGCTCCGACACTTTTTGAATTGCATATTTTTCTGTTTCATCAATAATTATTGTGTCAATATTATATCATACAAAAGTACAAATAACTTTTATACATATGTTATATCAATATACAAATTTCATATCATTTTTATGCTTACAAAATTCATACAAAACTTAAAATACATATGTTATTTTAAAACAATTTCATGTGTTATTACAGAATACAAAAGTAAAAACACATATGTTATATGAGTATACAAATTTTATACAATTCTTATTCACACATTTCTTACATATTTCATGCCAAAAGTTATCAATTATTCATATCAGGATCATGCCACTAGAATACCAAAATAATTCCAACTTAGAAATATTAATTTTCATTTCTTTAATAAACAGTATACCAAATTTATTACATTATTATTCTCAATATTCATTACAATATAATGCCAAAAAAAAATCCAATCAAACCAAAAATGGTATGAAAACATTATCGATTGTCATACATGCTTGGTAGTATAAGTATACAAATTCCAAAGAAAAAATTATCTATTTTTTTAACCAAAAATATACCAAAAAAAAAAAGCGTCAGACAAATAATGAACAAATTCAATGTTCATACCAAAATATAACATTATACATTTTTAAAAAAACGCCATAATTCAAATTATTATACACAACAAAAAATCTGAAATCAGTATACAAATTTCATATAATTATTATGCACATTTTTCATACCTATTTCATTACATAAGTCGTCACTTTTTCACAGCAGAATCATGCCACTATAATACCAAAACAATACCACTTTTAACTATTAATTGTCATTTATTAGACAAATAGTATACGAAATTCATTCAAATATAATTCTAAAATCGTACCAACATGGTATAACCAATATACCAAATTCAAATAAATTTTATGTAATTTTTTAACTAGAAACATACAAAAAAATGAATGTTCAAACAAAAATCTATACCAATTTCAAACAAATTTTATGTAATTTCAAAAGTGAATATTCATACCAAAAATGCCATAATTAAAACTATTATTCACAAACAAAATCTGAATATTTTTTTTTCCAGAATCACTGTTCATAATT